GTAAATGGATTTCGGTTCATCGATATCGCCATTCTTGCCGCTGTGTTCGAGTCGTTGTTGTGCCCTTTGTGTAAACAAGGACATATTGTTTTCGACGAGGACAAGGAATCAAAGATGGGCCTTGCCTCCCTTCTAATTTTTTAGTGTACAACTCGAAAGTGCTCGTTTCATAAGTCATTTTACACTTCTTCCAAGGCCAACAACAGCAAAGCGTTCGAAGTGAACAGGAGGGCTGTTTTAGCGACCAGAAACATTGGCGTCGGTCATCAAGGTCTCGTGAAATTTGCATGCGTGATGAACATGTTGCCGCCAATGAACGAAAATGCATATAGGGATCATGTCCAAGCCGTGCGTGATGCAGCTGAACGTACTGCTAAAGAAAGCATGTCAAGAGCTGCAGATAAAGTAAAAGAATTTTACGAGCCTGACGAGGGAGGAACTTTCAATATTGCAGTATCAGGAGATGGAACCTGGAGAAAGAGAGGCTTTTCTTCATCTTTTGGAGTGGTTACTGTGCTCTCCACTATCACTGGAAAGGCGTTGGACTGTGAAATTATGTCGAAGGAATGTGNGACGAGGAGCACATGGAAACTGAGGAAGCAGCAAGTTTCAAGAGTTTACCAGCTTCTGTCCGTAAGATAAAGGCAGCATCAAGTGATTCTTCAAGAGAAGAGAGCAGTGAAGATGAACTGGAACACGTAAATGGATTTCGGTTCATCGATATCGCCATTCTTGCCACTGTGTTCGAGTCGTTGTTGTGCCCTTTGTGTAAACAAGGGCATATCGTTTTCGACGAGGACAAGGAATCAAAGATGGGCCTTGCCTCCCTTCTAATTGAGGTGTACGACTCGAAAGTTCTCGTTTCATAAGTCATTTTACACTTCTTCCAAGGCCAACAACAGCAAAGCGTTTGAAGTGAACAGGAGGGCTGTTTTAGCGAACAGAAACATTGGCGTCGGTCATCAAGGCCTTGTGAAATTTGCATGCGTGATGAACATGTTGCCACCAACGAACGAAAATGCATACCAGGATCATGTCCAAGCCGTGCATGATGCAGCTGAACGTACTGCTAAAGAAAGCATGTCAAGAGCTGCACATAAAGTAAAAGAATTTTACGAGCCTGACGAGGAACTTTCAATATTACAGTATCAGGAGATGGAACCTGGAGAAAGAGAGGCTTTTCTTCATCTTGCGGAGTGGTTACTGTGCTCTCCACTATCACTGGAAAGGCGTTGGACTGTGAAATTATGTCGAAGGAATGTGGTGAGTGCAAATTGAAAAGGGGAAAAGAAGGAACTGAGGAGTTTGATGAGTGGTGGGAACAACACCAACACAAATGCCAAGCAAATTTTGCTGGTTCTTCTGGCTCTATGGATTCTGTAGGTATGCTGGCAATATTCCAAAGATCAGTTGCACAGCACAATACCAGGTATGTGGAATTTCTCGGTGATGGGGTCAGCAAAGCCCATAACCTTCTTGTCCAGGAAAATGTCTATGGTGATGAATGTGTTGGCCATGTGCAGAAACGCCTTGGCTCAAGGCTTCGGTCACTGAAAAAACGGCATGGAACAACTCATTTAGCAGATGGAAAAGGGCGGCTAACGGATAAGAGAATTGATAAACTGCAAGTTTATTATGGCAAGGCAATAAGGCAAAATACCCATGACATTGATTGTATGCAAAATGCTGTCATGGCCATTTGGCATCATTCAAAATCAACGGATGAAGAACCCGATCATGATCGCTGTCCTCCTGGTGAGGAATCTTGGTGCGGCTTTCAACGAGACATTTCAAAGGGAACGCCAGATTATGTCCATGAATCACCCATTCCAGAAGCTGTTGCTGATGCAATTTATCCAACATTTGAAGCAGAGTGACAAAAGTTTACTTTCAAGATGCCTTCATGGTGGCACCCAAAATCAAAACGAGGCCATCAATGCGCTCATTTGGCAAAGGGCAACCAAGGAAACACATGCTAGTACACCAACTGTAGAGCTGGCAACCTTCCTAGCAGTTAGCCACTTCAATGATGGCTCACAAACACTCCTGACCACTTTAGAAGCCCTCTGAATTGATCCAGGTTATCACTGTAGGAAAGCCTGTATGAAGCTGGACCATAACAGAATTCGCCATTCACGTCGTAAAAGCGGAGAAGCATCCAAGAAAAGGCGCAGACAACTCCAAAACTACAAGAAGGGCTTCACTGAGACATTGGAGGCAAGAGAAGGTCCTTCATATGGACCAGGAGCCTTCTGATGTGACTAGGAAATAACTGAACAAATGTTTGCACTTTTTGTGTCCATTTTCTCAATACCTGCATTTCGACTGTTTTTCATGCTTAGAAAAGTGATTTCTCCAAAACTCTAGTAGAGAACAGGCTGAAATTTTCAAGGTATTTTGGACACTAACAGAGCTGTGCAACCTACCACTTTGGTGAGATTCCAGTGAATACGTGGAGAGTTATCAGAAGCCATTCATATTTTCGAGTAATTATTTTACAGCATGATAAAACTTGAAATATGTGCACTGATGAGCTTAGAGTGGTAGGTTGCACAGCTCTAAGTATTGTTGTTCTGCGAGCAAAATTTCAAGGGTGTAGCATTTTTCCTTGTAGAGATATCTTCTTTGGCATAAACCTAGTTTTGGACCAGCTCGAAATAGGTGTGGTCAGTATATTAGGTGTGGTTCCTCAGGAATGTAAGGTATTCAANGTTGTTTTTTAACTCCCTATTTTTATTTTGTTATTGATATTACCTGGTGCATTCTTAGTGCATGTCCCTGTTTTGTTAAAAGCAAAGCTTTAGCTTTTGACACAGGTGCAGTAAGAACTCTCTGGTGTCTACCAACTGTTGCTGAACTGACTTGTGACCTACATGGCAACAAATGATGGTTTTCCTTCCCCAAACTCTCGTGTATATCATTTACTGAAAGAGACTTAAACAAAAAGGGAATTTGTGAATAATCTTACCTATTGTACAAGCAAAGTTGAGATCTTTACAAGCAATTTAATTGTCACATTCCAAATTATGTAATTCAGGGTGTCTGGAAAACCTGAATAGTGAATAGCAAATAGCAAATAGTCCTGAACAGTGCGAATAGTCTGGAATAGTGCAAATAGTGGAAAACAGTTGCAAAAAGTGGTGAATAGGGATGAATAGTTGTCAATAGTTACTGCTTTAGATCAAATATCCTGTATCAATTAATTATTCAAATAAGCAAAAGAATTTCAGTGAATTTATTACCTTTTCTTCTCCAGACTCAGGCTAGGGCTGTCCATTGCAGACATTAAGGAAACAGAAAACACAAGGATAACCTAATAAAGACGTATTTACCCTTTTGCAGTGGTTAAAACAGGAGAAATTACATTTAGAAACACCTTTTGTCCTGATAAGCGTCTGTGCTTTTTAGCAGGAAAATTGCTGCGAGGTTGACTGTGAGATACTGGCATGGGTACCCTATTTGCTACGATTTGCCACTATTTGAGACTGTTCACCACTATTTGCACTATTCGAGACTATTTGCACTATTCATGCTATTCGGGACTATTCGCAGTTCGCTATTCGCAACTATTTGCTATTCGCTATTCAAGTTTTCCAGACACTCACGTAATTCATGCATAGTGTATGACTGCAAAACAAAAGATTGTGCACAGTCGTGGACCTTCCAACATAAATCTTCATATATTCTTTTGCTCCTTTGATGTTTCCCGGGATTCATAACCATTCCCTTCTATTAACTATGGTTACATCAATTTAATACCAATACATCATTTCTCTAATTTGTATCATGACAGCTTCTCAATAAATTATCTAGCTAACCTCATTTCCATTAGAGTCTTGTTTTTTGTGGATTTCTGATTCTTCAGCTAAAGTTGTTTCAGGTTCTGTTTGACAGGCAGCATCCCATGTTTCTAAATAAAATAAACTGCAATGATGCATTTACATAATGGTTGGGGCAGTCAAAGGTAAATGTGAGACTTTGGGAGAAGGTGAGACTAGCCCTTTTTTGTAGACATTTTGACTGAGACTGAGACTTCAAAGTGTTTTAAATGCAAGGTTGACACATTCAGATTCTACGATGTTATGATGTCATTTACTAAAAAAAAAACAACAACAACAACAACAACAAACAAACAGGCACTTTGACATTTTCTTGACCTTGCTAAAAATCAAGACTGCAAGACAGCTTTGTGAAAAATCGAGCCTGCAAGACTAACATAACTGCTAAAAAAAATTAGACTGTACCACCTGTAAAATTTCATTTAAATTTTACAAGACCCATGGTTTATGAAGAACTATTTGCCACCCCTATAGTAACCAATAAATATTCTCTTGTTTGAATGCCTGTCAGTATCAAAAATTATGTGCACTGATTGACAGATGCCAATTAACTACAGTAGAGCCAAATCCAGAAGACAACTTTGACAAAACCTGGTAGAACTTACCCTACAGGGGTTTGTAACAGACTATAATATAAGGATGACCAAACAAAGAATCCCTCTGATTGAGCCATAACCAGTCAACCTAAACTTAGTTTCAAGTGTTGTGATGCCCAAAATCCCACACAAAAGGAGGGGAGGTAAAAAAGAGGGGGAGGAGGGGAGAGGACAGGGGTACTCCATATACACTAATAAAAGTGGGGGCAAGGGGGAGGGAATGCCCCCCCTATAGTAACCAATAAAATTAATATTCTCTTGTTTGAATGCCTGTCAGTATCAAAAATTACGTGCATTGATTGACAGATGCCAATTAAATATACACTAATAAAAGTGGGGGCGAGGGGGAGGGAATGGGGGCAGGAACCAGAGAATAGGAGGTGGGAGGGCTTTGGGAGGTTTTAAAAAAAATATTTCACCACTCTTAGAATATTTTACCATTATTCTGGGAGAAACATACACTCGGAAAAAGCTGCACGACGTGGTTCCAGTCGATACCCACAATTTGACCCTTGCTCACCATTGAGTCTCCAGTAGCTCAGTGGTTAGAGCATCCGACTAGATCACGGAGGGTCGTGGGTTCAAATCCCATCTGATACTCTGATGTTTTCCAAGTGTACGTTTCTCCCAGAATTTACACTTAATACAAGGCAAAACATGACATTTACCTTACATTTCCCACATATATTAACCCTCACTGTCTCAGTACTAAGTTACCAAAGTCCCCCCCGCCCCCTCACCGGCCCTTCCATATACACATCTGTTCAAAACAATAACAAATCCTCCTCAATAAGCTTGAAACTTACCAAGGGTTGATTTCGAATCCGTATGTATTTCCTCTTTATCATCTTCTTCGATATCCTCTACAAGTAATCCATCTTCTGATTTTTCATTATCATCACTGTTTTCTTTTATTTTTGTCTTTCCCGTCGTTGCCAAGCGAAGAGTATCAAAATATTTGACGCGTTCGGAATAGAACTTTTCACGGTCCTTTATGAACTCTACTTTTTCGCGTCGTGATTTTTCGTCATATCTTTCCAGTTTTTTCACCCACAGCTGAAAATCCTGCCTTACTTTCTCGTGAGCATTAAATATATCTTCCACGAAGTATTCCAGTTCAACTTTGAATTTCACGAGCTCCGCAGACAGAGATTCATTCGGTCCTTGTGTTGCCGACAGTCTTCCTTTCAGGCTTCGAAGAACAGGGTATTCTGAATTCAGTTCGATGTATTTTGACTGAGAGCCTTCTATAGCTTCAAGAAGTAGTTTAGATTTCGTAATAGCTTCTTCTAATTTTCCTTGAAGACTCGTTACAACTTCCAAAACGGGACCAACATCAAACACCGCCATTTTGTTTCTAAAATAAACATTTTCCCTGTTGTATTGTCGCCAGTCGAGTCACGAGAGTCCGGACAGAGTCACGACAGGTGTTCAGAGGAGTTTTGATTGGATTAGACTTGGCTGTGTGTGACTGTGTAGTCCAGTGACCAGTGCCCAGATTTCTCTTGGCCTTCCCAAGACACCCAACCGTCACAAGGCCAAAAAAAAAAAAAAAAACTAAAAAAAACTAAAATAAATTGTGAATATTATTGCTGAAATGAATGGAAGCATTCTGGTCGGTTATCTCATTGTAATTTCTACTTTGTGGTATTGCTAGTATTTGTGGTGTGACGGTTTAAAATCAGGTTCTAATTCTCAAATTGAAACATTTTGGGGGCATACCTCATTGCTTCTGGGCTTTTGTACATTATGCTAGCATTTTTTCGAGCATTTTAGTGAGGCAAAAGCATTAAGCATTATTCGAGCATTTTAGTGGCATTTTCCCGGAAAATTAATTGTTTTCCACGTCCATAAAATAAAATAACAATTATTTTTACGAGAAAATGAGGACTTAATTTGAAATTGAAAAAAATTCAAAATGCCACCCTAATACAGCTAAGTGGAGACTGAGGAGAGGTTAGCGACAGTCAAATAAAATAAAAGATCATTCAGAGAATTATCTTTTGGTGTATTAAAACCATTAGAAACGTTGCGTTATACTACATATACGTTTTTTGTAAGCACCCTGAGCTGTTAACAGTGTTAAAACGTTAAAATTATTAAAATTTAAGAAACCCTGTGTATGAGCATTAACCGAGCATTTTATTGGCTTTTTGGGATGAGACCGAGCATTTTAGTGGGAAAAATGGAGCATTAAGGTGGAGCATTTTAGTGGGAAAATAAAAGCATAATGTACAAAAGCCTTATTGCTTCTACAACCAAAGGTACCAACTAAGCCTCCCCCACCCCTACCCCCTTGAAAAATCCTGGATCCGCCGCTGCGTCAGCCAGTTTTCTTTACTATTATTCCGGCATAATGCTCGATTCTTTTGCCTCACTATTATGCTCAAAATAATGCCGGCATAATGTGTAAAACTCTAGTGTGGACGGTGGGCCTAACCGTAGAAATAACGCGGCGTTTTCAGATTCCTCCGGCGTAGTGTAGACGGAGCTTCATGGAAGTCTTCGAATCAACTGGTAACGGCTTGCACGTGATACGCTGACAGCTGCACGTGCGATACAATCGAATTACGTCATACATTTATGAATGGCTGGCACGTCGACATGTTCGTTGCCCTCTTGGAGTGCCACGCCTCAGATCAAAGGATAAATCAGGTTAATCACGTGCCTTGTCGACTATGATACTGATCAAAATCCATGTTGTGAACGAAAGGACTCAAGTGTTGCACCCCTGAGAGTTTCTGTCACCATCAAGCTCCAGCGACATTTTATTACATTCTTATAATTTTCTATTATGTCCATTACTGACTGCAATTTTAGTGTTTTTTTTTTTGTTGAAATGTTTATTTTCGAGATTCAGACACATGTAATAAGATCACCTTTTGATGCAACATTAAGTGGCTCTTAGCCTTGTTTTATCGGGCGCACGGAGTATTTCGTTATTTATAACAATACTGTCTGAACAAAGATCAAAAAAATCGAAACGGCATGTTTATATGAAATATTAACCAAATGGAGTAGTTTTTTTTCTCGTGTCAAATAAAGTGATTTGTAATGTTTAATTAATTGTTTTTCTCTTTACTCCGAAATTGAATAATTATCCGTAATCGTCGAATTGAGAAGCTACAATTTTTTTCCAATATCTTTCAAATGCGGAAAAGAACAGAAACGACTATAACAAACGCTCTTTGCCCTTCGACCAAAGCTCTCAATTCACCCAATTTGTAGAAAAGACGATAAATTTCTACAGAAACTCAAAACAAAACATGAAAAATTAAAAGAACCTCGTCGTTGCTCGCTGCCATATAATCTACAATACAAACCAAAACGCAGAAAAAAAAAATAAAACAAGACCTAAAGCAAATTAAATTCATAACAGCGGACCACGAGTTACTAAAAAAATTTGCGTGGCAACACGGTCACGGACATACCTCGTGGATTTGCGCAATTTTTGAGCCCAAGCAGGTTTTAGAAATTGGACTTGACACCCAAATTATTTTTCCGGGTGTTAACAAAGCATTTCGTAATTTTTGCTGGTAGCAATTGATTTGACACTTTAGGTAGGCCAATCGCAATACAGAAATTACTGGTGGCATGCATAAATGGAGTCGTTTTGCATCAATCAACGAAGTTTTCCTGCGGGGAGATTGGAGCAGATAAAAACCCTCCAGGTAAACCAGCGTTTCTTGGACAGACGTAATTCAAGATAAATCAGGAGCCCATCACACGACTCCTGGATAAATTGCATTCAGTATGAATCCAGATTACATAAATGCGACGTCGGCCGCGACAACCCCAGCAGCTCTCGTAGTTTGCGGAGATTTTCCGACGGTTTCGCACGCACCTTTGGATCTCGAGGAAACGTCGAAAGATATCCAAACGGAATTTACAGCCTTCATTCCACCTCTTCGAAAGCGGTTCAAGGGAGTCAAACTTGTGATGGCTATCACGATTTCTGCTCTCGTCAACCAGCTGGAGTGCTTGTTAACCTGTCTTCTCTTTTGCATTGTAATCCCGTTTTTGTTGTTGGTTTTAGCCATTTTAAAGTTAGGAAAATATCTGGTCGAACGTTACATCGCGTTCACACGAAAATGTATTCCTTTTCGCGAAGATGACGCCGTGTGGCAGCAAGATCGGGCGACAAACCGCCATATCATCCATGCGCTGATGGTTGTAGACGGTCCACCTGACATAAACAAGCTTCGCAAGATTATATGCGAACGACTTGTATACGGAAAAGATGAAAAGGGCGAACGAATTTGTCCAAGACTGACGCAAGTTATACAAAGGCATTTAGGCTATTACGTTTGGAAGGAGGACGAGGACTTTAGCGTTGAAAAGCAGGTTTTGAACTGGACAGGAGATCATCCAAAGCGCTTAGAAGATCTGGATGAGGCAATTTCCGAAATTTGTTCCACCCCGTTACCGGAAGCTGTTTCACCCTGGCAATTTCTTGTGGTGCCGATACTCGAAGAAAATTGTTTCGGTCTGTTACTCCGCGTTCATCACAGCGTTGCAGATGGAGTCGCTTTAACGAGGGTTTTTGTGAAAAATCTTTACGATGTACCGCCACAAGGAGCAGAACCTAAGAAATTCTCGACCAAGCAGCGAGTGTTCATGTGGTGTAAAGCAATACTGGTGGGCCCCTTAATGGTACTCACAAAGTTCTTTTCGAAATCAGACCGCTCCAGCATTCATGGGCAAGAACTCTGCGGCAAGAAAGTTGTAGCTTGGTCCAAGAATGTTGACCTGTCGTTGGTTAAAAAAGTGAAAAACGTGGCTGGCACAACGGTTAATGATGTCATGGTTTCGTGTTTGGCCGGAGCTCTGCATGATTACCTCAAAGGCCGAGACAACTGTGATGGTGCGAAATTGGACGACATGTGGGCTTCTGTGCCCGTGGACATTCGGGCTTCAACAAATTCTGTCAAGCTCAAGAACAAGTTTGCTCTGGTCTTCCTTCGTCTACCGATTGTAGCCAAAAACGCCGTGGACCGACTTCTAGCAACCAAGCAAAGAATGGACATTATCAAGACATCTGCTGAACCACTGGTGACAGCAACAACAGTGCAGATACTAATGATGTTACCGGAATTTATTTCACGGCCTCTCATAGATTTCTTTTGCAGGAAGATGTCTTGTGTCCTCAGCAACGTGCCTGGACCACAACAAACGCTGTACCTTGGTGGCCAGAAAATTGCTCAGGGAATTTTCTGGGTCCCTCAAAGAGCAAATATTGGCTTGGGGCTTTCCATATTTAGCTATGGTGGGGGAATTCGTGTGGGTGTGTACTGCGATGAATGGGTTATTCCAAAACCAAAGGAAGTCGTGGAGGGATTTGAAAAGAATTTCTGGCAATTAGTAAATGAACTTAATATCAACGAAAATCAAGGAGAAGACTGAACTGCGTTATTGAATGATAGAATCAGGGACGCCTTCGTTTCTGGGGTCTAGTTATGTGTAGAGAACCAGGGGGGTTAATCATTAAACAACATTACACAAGGGAGGGGGGACACCAACGCCATGTTGAAGCTTGCCAAAAAGGGGGGGGCAAAGGGGTAGGAAAGAAGACTGGTGTCAGTTCAACATAAAATATATATTTTGCTACGTTTTTCGCAGTTTTTTAAGTATTAAAAATTCGTGTCGCGTTGTGTTTTCCACATTCAGGAAGGCAAAACAACGTTATCTACTTTGATAGTGTAATTCATTATAATTTCGTAATCACTCTACTGATGGATCAAGAATGAACACAAACTGCAAGAAGGCTACGTTACTTTTAATGAACAATTAAATGCTATCCGAGAGCCATTATTCTTTAGGAGCACGTACAAGTGGCGTTGGAGAAAGCCTTGAATCATTTTACTTAGTGATCCAGTTCCTCTTTCTCCTTACAGTGCCAATAAAATGTCACGCGGACAATATTCTCTCTTGCTTTAAAACCAAATTTGAAAGCCCAAGTAACATTGACAAAATTGTCAATAAATAATTGTAACTACCGTATCGCTTTTTACTTTGGAATTATTTTTCAAGAAATATAAAGCGTTTTTAAAAATTTCTTCTGCCAGAATTTTATAAGCAATCATTTTATGAGAAAAAAATAACAAGTTTTAATATATGTCATCTTGAATACTATAGGCAAAAAATAGGTTACAATTGGTTTTTAACTCTAAACATTTGTATTCTTTTCTTTCGCCACAGTTTGATTAGTTTATGGTGGCGCAAAGAGGAAATTCCTTTCAATTTACACTAAATCCTATGTCCTGACAGATGCAAAGATCTAGGCAAGAGTCATATTTGACAGAAAAATTGATTATATTACAGTTACTGTTAAATATACATTTGTTTTTCTATTAATGAATTTTTCAACAAATCATCTTCCCATTTCCGTCTGTCAATAAACCATACCTATACATAATTGAAAGAACAGTCCTAAGTTAATTAACATTGCTTATTTTGTGATTGTTTTGCAATAAAATCTTTTGGTGTAAATGATGTGTTTACTGGTTGTGCACAAGTGAAATTCTCTTCTGTTCACATAGGTGTTCTATGAGACTGGTCACTCATCTGTTAAACTATGGTGTCATTAGACATAATTATAATGCTACAAGGAGTTTTGCTACTCTCCCAAGAAGGAATGTTTTTTCACCCCTAGCATTTCATGATCATCAGCTTAACAGAATGTGTTGTTCCAGAAAACATCCATACCTCCACCAAAAATGGCTATTTAGTTTTAAACCCTCTCATGGGAATTTCCAGTTTAACTCCCCCCCCTACCCCCCACCCCACACCCCCTCAGAAATTCCAATGACCATCCTTGGTGTGGGTATGGATATTTTCTGGATCAGCACAATGCTGGTACTCATTTGTACTCCTGATCAGTGGAGATGGGTACTGTACGATAACCAATAGACATGATTCAACTTTCCAATTCATTAGCCAGGCTCGATTTCCACCACTTTCTCGAGTCAGGTCTACGTTTTTGGGGGAGGAGCGCGGGCTCCTTTCCCGAATAGCGGCTGGTAATTGAGCCTATTCATTAGCACGATAATAAAAAAGCACCATTGGAAAATTAATAAATTAATTTGGTGATATCAGAATATGATTATATTTATAAAATTTTGAAATTCAATATAATCCTAATATGCAAAGATCTAACAGCTGAAATATCTACTTCCTACAACAAAGTTTTGTCTCCAAACTTCTTGTACTGTTCAAATGACATAAAGAACTACAGAGGAGTTAAAGAATTGTAATAACCATTAATAACAATTTGTATTATATCTCTCAGTTAGTATGCGTGCTGTGATTGGTCAATCTAGCGGGCTGTATTCTACTGTATGGCCCGCTAAAGTTTAGAGCCGTTTTTGTTGCCAAAATGTTTCGTGATTTATCGCCAAGTGTTCTTAACTTTTTTTAGCACGTAAAAGTTTAAAACTTTCTTTTACTTCTGAAATTTTGTACTAAAACATGCTAACGACTTTAGAGTCACTTAACAACCATTTCAAATTGACTTGTTTTGCTTTTGAGGTGCGTCAAAAATTTGCAGCCGTTCTGCATGAATAGAAATCATTCCCAAACCCGTCAGACACACAGTAGAGATACAATAAATACCGTACTAACCTTGTTTTTTCAGTCTGTACTGTAAGTTACGGATCCTCAGTTTTCCCCTTCGATTTATTTTGCGCTTGGGCCATAAATCAAAGGAAAAAAACTTGGTCCGTAACTTACAGTACGGACCTTTGACTCCATTAGTAAGAGGTACAGCTGTATGTATTTTCTGTATTATGTGGTCATAGTTAGGCCATTACGTTCCCCACCCCCTTACCCCCAAACAGCATTTTGTCAGAATTGCCTGATGACAATTCACAAGCACCCAATATATGTCAATGGAAAGAAGCAAAGTGGCAGCTTTTTCTCAGGCATTAAATGCAGCAAATGAGCAGAATATTTTGTTGCACTGTATTTTGTATAAGATGGAACGTGGTTTTGTTGGTATGTTCAAAAAATAGAAAATGAATTCGTTTAAGACAAACATAGAAATGTCTAAAGCTTAGAAATTCACTCAAGGATACAATAACATTCCATGGGAATAATCGCAAAAACTGCGGTACAAATCCTCTATAAAGTGCAAAAAACCCCTCAGACTTGAAAGTCTATAACAAAAGAAAATGGCAAGCACATAACAATAACAATTCATATCAGGTTATAGAGGGAACTAGAAGAAGAAAAATGAAACCTTGCAACCCAAATGGCTCATACATCTTGGTACTTAAGGATGGATCATTATTAATATCAATATTCTTTTTTTTTTGAAGGGGGAGGGGGTGGTTGGACAATTTTAAAAAAACATTCCTGTAGAGCAAAAGAAAGTTGAGCACTTTCATTTTGCATCTGATTGGTTGCAAAACAATAAACATTCCAGAAATTTTCTCTGGTGTTCACGGTTGTACAGAAAAGACTATCAGTGATAATAATAATAATAATAATAATAATAATAATAATAATAATAATAATAATAATTATAAAATTGTTGGGATGCATCCTGCTACATAATAATCAAAGAAATTTTGCCTTCACAACAATAGTAAATCAATACATATTACTATTATATTAAACAAAAGTGACTTACTGTAACCAAACAGTGTGCGGCACTTCTGTAGATCACTGTCCCATCACCAGGTTTTAATTTCAAGTTTCTTTGATTCATCATTCTTGTCTGCAAGAATAACATTACATGCAACTAACACTAACTGGCTTTCAGTGCCAAATCATAAATTTAAAAAAAAAAAAAAAAATCAATTTGACTAACCTTGACCACATCAATGGGATTTGATGCAACAGCTCCTGCAAAACCTGCTACACCACTAGCACTGGAAAAATCACAGTTATTTTGTACTGTTATAAATACACTAATAAATATTTTTATTAGCTATTATATCTTTGAGGAGTCAGACAGGTGAATAGCAAGTAACCATCAGTATAATACATGGCACATCAAGGCTTATCATCAGAGCCAACTGGCCTGACTTGAGACACTGCAAAGTCACTCGACACAATGATTGAACCCAAGGGTTTCATTAAGTGCTGGGCACTGGGCACATTGACTGGCTGTAAGAATGATTTTGCTCTCCTTATGGCTGAGTATGCTTGATTTTCCCTTGATACTATGGGTGAAATTGTCTGTGGTTGATAAAATTCACCCACAAAGTAACAGGTTTGCTATGGGTGTGGGGAACAAGGCTACAGGTGACTCAAAACTTAATGACAGCCCTGAACACAAACAACAAATGGCAGGGCTTGAAATTGGATGTGCTGGATACTACACTACTTAACAATAATCTCTGAATTCAATAATGACATTGAACAAGACTTACCAGAAATGAGTATATGGGTTGTCACCCATGATTTTGTAATCCAAAATCTTTTTTTTACACCAGTCATAAACTGGAAGCTCTACTCCTGCAATAACTGCAGCTCTCTGTGCTGTGGGGCCAACTCCCTAAAAGAATAACAGTAAAACCTCTTTCCTTGTTCTATAAGGAACATGACTACCAGTGAGCCATTCACTCATTTGAAACATTTTTATTAGTAGTAACTCAAACATGCTGTCAATATATGAAAGACAAAATTAAACTACTGGTAATATCTACATGTAGAAGGGAACTTCAATCTTTATTTTATTACTGTATACTTAGTTTTTATTTTGTCTTTTACAGCTTAGTTATTTCATTAGCTATTTTATTTTACCCATCTTTTAAAATCATTGTAAAGTGCTATTGGATAGCGATAGAACTAGCGCTATATCAATAAAGTATTACAAATATTATAATCATTATTATTATTATAATTATTATTATTAATTATTATTATTTTAAAAATAAGTTCAAAGAAATGCGAACCCAACCTGACATGTGTAGCAATTTACTCCTGCCAGTAAAGCTTAAACTTATAACTGATTGATTTTGACCATAACCCTATGTGGGTATAGGGCCAGAAAACTTACTTATAACTGAACTGTGTTCATAATCTATTGACAGCAAACACTTCATTTAATTAGAGGTCTACATATAATTAAGGGTTACTACTGACATTTTCCTCTTATTGACTTCTTGGGGTTCATCTCTTGACAAATATATATTTATTACTTATTATATGGCTAGCTCCATGCGCAGGTAAGATGAACCAAATCCTGCACTGTGATTGGCTGAGCAGGCAATATGATACCACCTTGCCTGCTTGGGATTACCTAATATGTCCTGCAAGAAAAAAATGTTTTTTTTTCCATATAATAAATCCTTTTATTGACCAAGCTTGTTTAGTCAAGATGGCTGGATATTGGCCTTGTTCTTTTTTTTGCGTGTTTATGGACCAAAATTTGCCAATATCCAACCATGTTGACCTCATGCTTGGTCAACAACCCATACTTCATAATGCCATCATGCAAACAATAATTAAATTCTTACAAATTACCCGATAGAGTCCTCTTGCTCCTTCCTCTTTGAATATGGACATAAAGGAATGAATCATTCCCTTTCTCACTACACTGGTACCCGAACGATATTCTGCCTGCATTCGAATCTGCACCAAACGAAACAAAACAGATATAGAATAGAATGGTTTAAATTTATGCTAGTGTCCTTAATAGTAGCAACTATTAGTTTCTCCCTGACCTTCCCAGAATTGACTTACAGATATGAAAGGCTAGGCCAATTCATTTCCAGCAGAAGTAGAATACGGATTACCAGTGGTAAAAACACATATAAAATTTAAAGTTTGAAATATAATGACACAGTTGATTGAAAATAATAAGCTTTTGCAATAATTGCAAAATTGAAGCCAGAGAAGGTAAGCCCCAAGGCAAAATTTTGCAATTTTATTCCTGATAATCTCCATACTGAATTCAACTATAGTTAATTTACTAATCATTTATTCATTATTTCCTGTAACTTCAAAAGGTACAGTGTAAACTGTACTAACAACAACAACTACAGTAGTAAAGAATGAGTTAAATCAAGTGCTCAGAGGGTCCTGCAAGACATGGCTAACTGCACAAAAACCTCCCTTCTGCTAGAAAAAAAAACCTCTCCTCTCTCTAACACTAACCCAATGCCACAGTATAATGTCAAGTAAAAGAAGAAAATGCAAGACTAGCTTTTGTCATAATTCGCCTCTCTCTAAAAATTACCTTCAAAACATCAGTCGGGTTGCAAATAGCGGATGAGACAGCCCCAGCAATAACACCGGCAATTACATTGTAATACAGAGTCTCATCTGTAAAAGGAAAAAAAAATAGATAGACATTATTTTTATCATGTTTAAAAACCCAATCCACAGTCACAATATTAATTTACAAACCTGTACTCAAGCCAACTGGCCTATCTGCTGGCAATAACTCTGGTTGCTATAGCAACTGACAGCATTTCTGTTACCTCCTGATGGGAATTGACTCCACTGCAGGTTATGTAACTCTCAAAATGCAGACTTACAAGTCTTCCTTTTCCCCCAGTTGGAAATAGGGGTGCAATCTACCAGACAAGTTGAAAATGGTGATAACTATTGGAATCAAAGAGGCCTCGTTCCCTGAGAATACAAGTCAAAGGAGAGCACACCTCCCTTGACTGCGGAGAAATTAATTTCAACTGATGATGATTGACTTATATTAACATGGATTGCACTCAAAGTCTGAGAAATAAGTGCAAAACTCTTTTTATCAACTCATAACACAGTAACTTTTTGAATACTATTTGAAACCTCTCACTTAAAATCATTTCTCTAAGTGACCCTGGGATTACATTCTGAAGCATTTTAAAACATAACACCATGCTATGAGGTTTTCTTGGTAACTGAATTTTGCCATTACTGCTCGAATGTACAGTGGAATTCACCTTTAAGTTAATAACATAAGGTTTCATGAATATCATTACCGAGAATGGACAGAAACTCTACTTCGGCTCCAAGTATTGGTAGTAGCTTAATCAACTCTTAAACTTCAAACCTTTGAGCATTTAAAACATACCTTTGGGGTTTTTGACTAGTCTCCTCTTAAGAGCATGATAGAAGCCTAGTTTCAGAGATCCGTAGGTTGCTTGACGCAAGAGTGCTGGGGCCACGCTAGAAGCAACACAAGAAAAGACAGCTTTACTTTTAGCAATGTGAACTATGGTGTGTTAACCAATTTGCTGTGGATGTAAATCTCTCAGCATTACTATTTACAATCTGAGACAAGAGAAGATTGATGGATCTTTGCTAGGTCATCATTGTCATCATCATCATCATCATCATCATCATCATCATCATCATCACACAATATAGCACTGGAAACGACTTTAACCCTTTCAGTCCCAAGTACAGTTCAAAACATTAATTCTTCTTACTGACAGCCACACAGTTCTTTTAATTTCAGTTCTGAGAATTTGGTGGTAGGTCAAAGCATTATCACTTAACTGATGATTTTCTTTATTCTCATTACCTGTTTGCTTAATAATGTATTGGTATTGTAATGAGAAATCAGATTATGATACCTGCTGGCCAGGGATTAAAACTTGAAGAGTTAAAAGTTAAATATAATTTTAGCAATAATTATTACTTAGAATTATCTGGTAATGTACCTGTAATTGTACAATGTGTATCTTTTAAAAGCTGAATTGGGAACTTGAAAATTATTCAGAAAAATGTACCGCTATTGATAACTTAAGACATATGATTTAACCACTCTTATCTTCAATGAAATGAATAACCTTTAACCTTTTTACAATTGTAAATTTAGTTAGCATCGGGCAGGCGAAGAGCCACTCTGTGGATATACTGCCCAAAATGCCATTATTATTATTATTATTACTATTATTATAATTTTGTCAATGTGTGGCAATCAAGTAAAAAACTTACCCATTAAACAAAGCCTTGATGCCATCTTCTCGAGCAATTCTCACAAAGGCATGAAGCATTCCACGGTATCTAATCTCTTTCTGTTTGACATCAATGACTTGACCCTGAAGCTGTAGCCGTGTTTTTGTGGTGTCAATAGGAAAGGTTCCTGTTAAGTAACCATAATTTTCAGTTCATACTCAAAATAAATATATCTTATTAACTAAGCTAGCTTGGGACTGTACTGGGAGAATTTCAGCCTCTGTCTTTTTTGTACGGACTGAGCACAGTGAGCAAGTCTACAAAAAAGACCGAGGGCCAATATTGTCCCAACACAGTCCTGAACAAGCCTGGTTAATAAGAGATTTGTTATGCAACTAAAGGATTCCAACCTATGACCTCTGCAACGCCGGTATACCAGTACAAGATAAATATATTATAAAACATTAGAAATATATTATAAAACATTATAAAATATATTAAAGACCATAAGTTTGAACTGTGGAGAAAACAGGTTTTGTCCAACAGTAGGTGCCAATACCTTATAACTGCAATGATCCTACTATCTTCATGGTATTCTGTTTTATTATATGGTTACATGTAGCTCTGTGAGTTGGCAAAATGAACCAAATCTTGCACTGTGATTGTCTACCCAAGAGGGCAAGATGGCCCTTTATTATGTGTCTAGCTCCATGAGCAGGCAAGATGAACCAAATCTTGCACTGTGATTGGCTACCCAAGAGGACAAGATGACCATTTCTTATAAGGCTAGCTCCGTGAGCAAGCAAGATGAACCGAATCTGGCTACCCAAGCAGGCAAGATGGCACTTTCTTGCCTGCTTGAGATTACCCACTGTGTTCCACAAAAAAGAGTGTTCTTTTTTCCATATACCAATCCTTTATTGACCAAGCTTGTTCGGTCAAGATGGCTGCATACTGGCCTTGTCCTTTTTTGGCGTGTTTATGGATGTTGAATCTGTCTTGGTCCATGACCACGCAAAATAAGTACTTGGCCAATATCCTGCCATCTTAACCTCACGCTTGGTCAATAACCCATATATTTTGCCCACTCGGCTGGGATTACCCACTGTGTCCCGCAAGAATACAAAGCGTTTTTTTTTCCATATAATAAATCCTTTATTGACCAATCTTGTTTGGTCATGATCATAGCTGGATATTGGCCTCGTTCTTTTTTCCGTTTTTATAAAACTCGACTCCGTCTCGGTCAATAAACACGCGTTATTATTATTGTTGTTATTGAAAAAGCACTTGCCCGATATCCAGCCATCTTGACCTCACGCTTGGTCAATAATATTGTAATATTGAACGCATTATTACAGTTCTTGGGTTAATCTAAGTATCTGTTGTTTTTCACTGAATTACTGTGCCACAGTCAGATGTTCCAAAGGAAATAACAGCTCCTCTCCCTTGAGCTACCAAAAACGCCCCGGGAGCTAAATCGAATCCCAGGCCTTCCCTTGTTTTTGTTACAGTTAGAGGTATAAGGCATATGATCTCACCGAACTCAGCTGTCATTGAGGCCAAACCTCCATAGATAAATGGTCTGTAATCCATAAGAAATGATGCTTCCAGGGGGGTGAGACTTAAAACTTCAATTCTTCATTACCGGTAATTAACTGGAATGATTTCTTCGGGCATTTCTCGGCTCGTGTTGACGGACGTGTCAGTTGTATTGTCTTTGAAACTGCAAACTTCTGGTCAGCGGATTCGTCGACTTAGTAGCGAGGCTGAAATCGCCGACATTCCGTTTTCATGGAAACGTATCTTTACGGTATTCTGATTGGCTGTTCACAAATGTTTAACCAATCACACATCGCGTGGTTTAAACCCGCAAAATCCAAATCGTTTTCACTCACAAACAAGAGCCAAGTCACTGAAAAGCCGACAGGAGAATTCTTGATCGAAAAACAGAACTTTTTAAGCAACAATTTTAAGGTTTACTGCAAAGAACTCCACGTTTCATTCATCACAAAATGGTTAAGACGCGCTCCAGACCTTTAACTTCGGTATTTTATAACAAATCCAAGGTCAGAGACTACAGGCATTCGACCACGTTTTCTTCACTTCTTTATTCCATCTGAGTGCTAACAGTTTACGTATTCGCTTGTTAGTCTTGTAACTCTTTTGGTTTCTTACAAACAGGACAACGCTTCGGACGAAAATGGAGTTCCCGCACAGATAACTTTTAAAACCGTTGAGCAAGGAAAGCGTTCGGCCGAAGGCTCTCCTGACAATGTCCCCTCACGGAAGAGGGCTGCATTCGGAGACATCACAAACGTAAGTGACCGAAGTTAGTCTTATTTTGGGGTGAAATATGTGATTTCTTGACTGAAAACAGAACGGAAACCTTCCAATCGCTTTCCTTCGACTCTGTCCACCTAATCCCCTTCTTTTCTTTGGCTTTAAGGCCACTTTTAACCAGCTAGGAGGAGAAAAAGGAGTGAAGAAGAAGCAGGCGAAAAGCGGCGTTGTTCGAAAGCAGACACAACAGCAAAGCAAAGCAAAGACTGCTGTAAAGGCAAAACCCAAGCAGAGAAAAAGTAAAGATACTACACAGCCGTCAGTTTGTGATCACGAACAGCAAACAAAAGCCGTGTCTCCATCTGGTGCAATTTTAAGTTCGCAAGATTCAATGGAAGAGTCGACATCATCTCAAGACTCGTTACAAATACTATCAAGGTTGGTTCAAGGTTTATATTTCACGACCTCGATTTTTAATCGTTATCCTCTGCTAGTAGGGTACTAGAAACCAAGTTAACGCTCAAGATTGAGTACAGTTCGCTTGGTAAAAGGCAGGAAGATCACTTGAAGTGTACTGATGATAAAAAGTATCTTTTTTTACCTAGAGCAGGCATGAATAGGCGTTAAATAAATATTAATTATTATTATTATTATTATTATTTTTTTTTTTGTCAATTTGCTTTGACGAAATGTCGATTTAGATGTTGGGCAGCCAGACGGACACACCTTTACGTGTATGACGGGGGTGGGGGGGAGGGTCTAGGGGTTTTAAACTCATGGTGACAGTTTTGGGGATTTTAAATTTTACCCAGTATTAAAGTTATTGAATAGATATGTGGATGGTGGTGTTTAAGAGACTTATATTAAGTTACATTGTAAATACTAACTAGCTTGTTTAAATACTTTAAACAAACATTGACATTTATTATACTTTTTGGGGTATTTGTTGGAAATGAAAAAAGACCTATGAGAATTACTTTGAAAGCTAGGTATCTTCCTCCATTAAGGGTAATTACAGTCAACTCCCGATAACTCAAACCTTCAAGGGAAATTGAAAAAGGTTCAAGTTATCGGGAGTTGAAAAAACAGTATTGTTTTTCTATTCATGCATTATATTGTACATTTTAATCAAACTTAATTACAGAATGGAGAAGTTGAGTGAAAATAAAACAATACGTCTCTAAATAACTGTATAAATCGGAACATAACATAATGTGAAAAATATAACAAAGGAAAGCAGCAAAAGTCCAGGAACTGTGAACTGTACAGGTTTTTTAAAGAGAACAATGTTGGGCTACTGGCACAAAGCTCATGCGATCTACATTTTCAAAGTTTATGCGATTTCCTTTTTCTGTTCATGCAGTGTTCATTTTAATCAAATTTAATTATACAGTATAGGGAGGCCAAGTGAAAATGGAACAATACATTTCTTAGTTCTTAAAAGAAAAGAAAAAGTTCAATCAACTGGCTGCTTCAAAATAAAATTAATGTTTTGGACTAGAGCACATTGTTTGTTTTGACTTGTCACTTATTGACAGACATGGTTAGAGTTGTCAAGGGTAAAATTATATTATAGAAAATGACCTGAAGGGAAACAAAAACTGCTTCGAGTTGGTGGGAGGTTCGAGTTCTTGAGGGTTTGAGTTGCTGAGGGTAAAACTACAGTAAATGTATGACAGACAGGGCTGTCATTAAGGGCTGTAACCCATAGCACCTGTTATGGTTGAGTACATATATGCTTGATTTTCCCTTGATGCTATGGGTGAAATTGCCTGTTGTTGATATGATTCACCGACAAAGTAACAAATTTGCTATGGGTGTGGAGAATAAGGTTACAAGTGACTAAAAACTTAATGAAAGCCCTGATGGAAATCCAGGGCAAATCAATTTTGGTTTGAGTTAGTGTGAGGTTCAACTTAACAAGGGTTTGAGTTATTGGGAGTCGACCGTACTGCCATATCAAGCTTAGGAGATCTGTCTAGGTAATGTGCATCATAGAATGCATTCTAAGTCAAAATATTTAGTCTTGAAAGCATTTAATACCGTAAAAAATTGGATTCACAGGAATGTTTATCACAGAACTTGTGAAATCTTAAAAAATCTCCCGTCCACCAATATATCTTTGTTTTTATAAGTCTTGAAAGCATACCAATGTGCGTTCAGTGATTACCCCAATTTGGATGTCAACGTGATGAAATCTACTGATATGGCTGCTTTTCAGTTGTAATTCAGATGCTGATAATAGTAACACTGATGATTCCAAGCAACAACAGAAGGAGGAAGTTGTACAGGTATGAGTTGGTATTGGTGTTATTATTTGCCTGATGGAATCTACATGAGATCATGCTATGAATATAAAAAAAAGGATACCTTTTTTTTCTTTACATTTTAGCCATCTGAAAACATGAGTCTGAATTATTTTGTAGGCGGAAAAGTCAACAGAAGATGAAGTGATTGACATTGATGCTGACACATCAGATCCAGTTACAGTCTCTGAATATGCAAATGAGATCTTTGTGAACATGAAGAGAAGAGAGGTTAGTACTCTAACCTTACTTACATCTTGTTCCTTTTTTGTTGTGACCTCTAGGCTGCGTAGCAGGTGTTCATTTCAAAAACGATGCGAAGGGAGCGAAAACTGCAAGCGAATGTAGAAAAATGAGGAGAAGGGGTATAGGGCGAGGCAAAAAAAGAAACAGCTGCAATTAATCCCCACCCCTTGTCCTTTATTTTTGCTCACCCCCTCCCCACTTCTCCCCATAATGTTTTTTTGCTCAACCCAGGCACGCTAACTGTTTTCTCCATTGCTTGCTTGATCTCCCTGCCTGGAAAATGATAAGGAAACATCTGCTATGCTGGATATGTAATCTTTAGTAATATCACTCACTATTATAGATCTTGTGTTTTTGGAGGTGGACATACTTTTTTTAATTGGACTTTAATGGGTCCAGAAACTGAGGAACAAATTAAATCAATGAAAAACACCCCAGAAATTATCTTATCACAAAAAAGTTAGGAGAATGTTGATGCTAATCAACTTACATGTCATTTTTGCTACATTTAATGACAGACACTATTCCCGCTAACAAATTACATGGAAACACAACAAGACATCACTCCTCAAATGCGAGCCATATTGGTGGACTGGCTGGTGGAAGTTCAGGAGTGTTTTGAACTGTACCATGAGACTCTATATCTTGGGGTGAAACTTCTTGATCATTTCCTTGAGAGGAACACAATTAAACGTGATGAACTGCAGCTTGTTGGTGCTACAACTCTTATTATCTCCTCTAAAATTGAGGTAAAAATAGTTTTTATTTTTGCATTTAAAAAGTGTGTTTTTAACTTGGAATATGAACTGCTCATCAAGAGAGCATAGGTATACTGTTAAAGGAGCTCAGTCACGGTTTGCGCATATTGAAAAGTTTAGCCTCAATTTTTCAAAATCATCGTTTGTAATCCCTGTAAATCTTCTCCATCCTTAGCCATCCTTGTTCCTTTTATATGGTTTATCATTATCTCTTTGGTGTTTTTCTATCTTATTATAAACTGTTATTTTCAGGTTTCCCACCATTTAAAGGTAATTTTGTATGTGGCCAAAATAACTCAAAATACTGTGACTGAGCTCCTTTAACATAGGTGACTTAAAGGGAGCACAAAATTATGGCAAAATATGGTTCAATTGGGAAAGACTGAACAGAATGAAACAAGGTAGTTTACCTAATAAGTTGAAAGTAAAATTACTGAATCACAACATGCTTAAAAAATTACACTACAGAAAGCTTTTAGTGCCAAGCCAAAATTTCATTTGTGTACACACCACCTATAGTATGTAGTATTTAATACAAGGTCCGAGGATTGGTAAAATTATTTTGGAGTGGCCCAGATGAGGCAAAACTGTTTTATACTCAAGTAAATTTGTAAGTCAAGTAGTAGCTGGAAGAGATCTCTGATAAGAGAGACATTTGACTGAGACTCCATAATGCTGATATTAGTGATGATAACAGCACTTTTATGGCGTATATTAACATGTGGATATGTTCACATGCACTTAACAAAATTATTTATGAAACTATTCACAAATAAAAAATTAAAATGAAAATCATAATCCTAATTGTTCTTATCATATTAACATCAAAATAATAAGTAAAATGCATTACAATCAGTGATGAAATAAATTGGAAGAACAAAAGAGTAAAATAAATAAGTAAACCTAAAAAGATTCTCTCTGCATATCATCATTGAAATTTATAAACTTTGTTCCAATATCATAGAATACGTAATTGATGTCAGTAGGACTGTAATCAAGAAACTGTCAACTGATTGTAGTGATACCTAAGGATCTGCATCAATCATCACAGCATACAATGCCTCTGCTAATTAGCACTTTTATGTAATATTAGGAGCGCCACCCACCCTGCCTGGATGACTTCATCTACATTTGCGATGATGCCTACCAACAACAGCAGTTTATTGCAATGGAGAGCAGAATCATTCGCAGCTTGGGATTTGACATAAACATACCTATTCCATACAGATTCCTTAGAAGATATGCCAAGGTGAGCCAGTGTTGTCTTCTTCTCTATGGTGCAGCTTGTAACAAGTTATGATTATTTTAAATCTCTGTTTGAAAGAAGAGCAAGGGAACACTCTCGTACTATGCCTTATGAACATAATTATTTAAGCTATAGAGTCAGTGTTTCTGTCGACAAACAATCAGTTGATAGTTGCAAATAACGCAAATAATTATAAGTTTGATGACATTTGATAATGGTGACATGCTGTCACGGAAATGTCATGTTTTAATATCGCTGCTGTTTATTTTAAAATGTTTCGGGGAATCTTCCATTATCACAAATAATAATAATCATAATATAACAATAATTATAATAATTAGTAATTTTTGTTAATTATTATGTATCACTATGACTCCATCATGAAGTCAATTGTTTTATTAACATTTTTTTCCAGGCTGCATTTGCAAACATAGAAACACTCACTCTGGCTCGCTTCCTTCTGGAATCCTCCCTTCTTGAAAGTCGCTTTGTCGCAAACAGGGCATCATTCATGGCAGCTTCGTGTCTACGCCTTGCAATGTTGATGAACAGTTGTGGTGAATGGACACCCACTCTGATACATTACACGGGCTACACTGACAATGAACTACGAGATTGTGTGCTGCAGCTCAATTCAATGAACAGTGCACCAGCAAATAAGAACTTGATGACCGTGAAAAACAAGTATTCACATAAAGTGTTTCATGAAGTGGCCAAGATTCCAGCGCTGGACACATTAACCATTGAAATATAGATTTTTATTTTGTAAATAGAAGTTCTTATTAGTATCCTTGTTCTATTTCTAGGTAAAGTTGAGAAAAAAAAGTTGAAAGTGCCATAGATTTAAATATTAGTTCGTTTTACATAAAAAAAATTATCATTTTACATGCATAGAATAACTGTAAGTGACCTCAACTGGATTATTAAATAACTATGTTTTTAACAAAGGAGAAATTTTCCCTTTGCTATTTACCATTTTTTACAATGATGTTATCCTTAAGCTTTAAGAGACACTTCCATCCTATTTTTTAAAGGGGAAAAACATATCTGTATGTCACTGGCGAGTCCACAGCAATGACCAGTTTGATTTCATATTACAAAATATTGAGATAATGATAAATAACTGATCAACGAAAAGGCAGAACTTTTTAAGCAACAATTTTAAAGTTTATTGCAGAGACCTTCACTTTGCATTCATCGCAAAATGGTTAAGACGCACTCCAAGGTCACCGATGACAGGCATTCGACCACGTTTTCTTGACTTTATTCCATCTGAGTCCTAACAGTCTACGTTCTTGCTTGTTATTCTTGCAACTGACCTTTGACTTCATACAAACAGGATAACACTTCAGACGAAAATAGAGTACTCGCACAGATGACTTTAAAAACCGTTGAGCAAGGGAAGCAAGGAAAGCGCTCGATGTAATTTTTAGCTTTAAGAGACATTCCTGAGTTTGATTTCATGTTACTAAATATTGAGATAATGATAAATAACTGATCAACGAAAAGGCATAAAGTTTGACAAGTTTAACATACCTTAGATTTCACTTCAAATTTTGATTCAGTCACAAAATGCAAGGCACTGAAAGATGGCATTCCACCGGAGTACATTGCATGCAGTTTGTAAAATATATTCTCAGACCACCAATTTTCTTACTCAAATGCTTTAGACCTATTACAATATTGTTGTATAATAATGACACAGTAAATATTTGTTTCTATAGTATTTCTAACGATCTAACTGAAAAATAGAGAAAATGAGGAAAACTAATACATCCATGCTTTACGTTATATGCAACAGTTTCAGGAAGCCAAATGGGGTATGAACAAAAATGCATTGGTTTGGGCTAATGTTCCTAATGTATCAATCGAAGAAATAACACCAGTACTTAAACACTGGACGGAAGGTAATCGGCACTAAAAGCTTTACTAAGCTCTTTTAATCTGTAAGTGTTTATATCTCCATTTTGTGGACAAAAAATCTGTAAATAGATACAAGAATGGTAATGTTGAGTGCCAGTATATTGACTTTAGCAAGTATTCAATGTAAAATCAAGACTGCTTAGTCGCTGTTTCGCTTAGTCCATCGTGTGTGACGCGAATAAAAAAAACCGCGAGAAAAAATCGCCGTGCGATAGGAAGGTCTTCCGAGAAACGGCGCGTTTTCAAAGCGATGCGCTTTCAAAAGACTCGTTTTCGAATACCTAAGTTTCTCATCAGCGCTTTTGGTATATGGGCGAAAACACGTCAAAAAGTATGCGTTTTCATACAAAAACGCTTTAGTCCATCGTGCATGACGCGAGCAAAGTAAGCGAAAGAGAGACTACTCATAGTCTAAAGGACTGCAGACTGTAGACTTTTTTTAAACTGAATTATATTACCATTTCCATAATTGAGAGCTAACCGTAAACAGGCTAAACCGGTGCGTTATTTGACTAATTCAGGCTAACCTATGTGATATTCAGGATAACCTGTGTGATATTCAGGATAACCTGAGTGATATTCAGGATAACCGGAGCGATATTCAGGATAACCGGATTGATATTCAGGATAACCGGAGTGTTATTATCCAACTGCAGCGAATACCGTCCAAATAACAGTACAAATATACAGCGATATTGTACAGTTATTTGTACAGTAGAAAACCCAATCTCGTTCCCAGAGTCTTCGTTCCCCTTAACCAGCGGTCGGAAAACGAGAGCTCTGGGAGCAACCATTTCAGGCATGCGCCATAGATGCAGACTGCGCAGTGAAACCAGGCAGAATCACCAGAATTCGGTTATTTCAAAATGGTTGCTTCCAGNACTGTAGTGCCCTGACAAAAAATGTTCCATATCGTGACCTCAGGCTAAAGCTTAAATCTCTAGTTAATTTTAATGAATTCAGCTTTAAGATAACGTCTGGATCCACTTGTAATTTTAGAAAAGATGACTTTATATATACTTAAAAATTTATGCTAACAATCTCTTATTGTATATATCGCTGACTTAAGTTCAAACGCTTTTTCTGTAAATACCCCTAGTTTTTAGTTTTTAGTTGCTTAGCGATTAGTTAATTGCAAACGACCCCACAAGCTCATGTAGCTTTAATACTCATCGTTTTAAAATAAAGGTTATCTATCTATCTATCTATCTATCTATCTACGGACCGCGTAGTGAGGTCCGTGCGTCCTGACCGAGAACCAAATATTTTCCAGCCAGGCCCGACCTCACTCAATCAATAAGCATTTTATCATTTGACCATTTTTGCTCTTCATTTGTGAGGAGTGTTTACTTTCTTTCCGCGCTTTCGTAGTACCGTAGAATTTCGGGGCCGTTACTTTCAGATTTAGCAGGTAAAAGGGGACGTCACTTTCGGATTCCTCCGTGTGACCGTTGCTTTCGGATGGTTTAAAAACGTTTGTACGGTAATTCACAGTCGTTTTAGACAAATGCAGACCCGTAACATGGAATTAAAATGTCTGTCTATATATGTTACTAACTAACTACATAAACAAAGCAAACTGTAGAAACAAAATAGGTCTCAAATGTTGGTACTGTTGGACGAAAGTATCATGGTCGTAATGTAACTAATTACCAACTACTTATTAACCGAGCATGAGGTCTTTAAGGGGAAATCTCAAACAGAGACCTTGCCGTATTGACCGAGCGATTGCGAGGTTAATACGGCAAGGGCGAGGTTTGAGATTTTCCCGTAAAGACCGAACGTTCGAGGTTAATAAGTTGTTTATTATATAGCTTTTTGCTTTGGTTTTGCAGGCCCGAAATCGGCCCGTGGACATTACGGGAAAATAATGCCCTAGAACTAGCCAATCAGAGCACGCGTTATATCGATTACAAACACTAACCATATAATAAACGATATTATTTTACCCTGCTGCCAGGCAAATTCAGCTTATAAATCATAGTTTTTTAAGAAACATTCAGTTGAGTTCGAAATAAAATCACAAATAACTCATCAAGTTGTTACAGTCGACAGTCAGGCTGATCCATCTGTATTGCGCTTGAGATCAGAGTCTCTCTTCTAGTGACTTCTTCAAAGGGTCGCTACTTTCGAGGGGCGGCCAACACAACGAGAACTAAACGGCACGCAATGCATGTAGAAGCGATGACGTTTAAAAATATTTTGGCTATCCTAGACATTGCAAGACAAACTAACGGATGCATAAGGTAAATAAAAGGTGCTAAAATTGGCACAGAAAGCGAGGAGTAGGAAGAATTTTCAGGAGTTAAGCGGGTTGAAGAAATGGTGCGACAACAGGTGAGAGGCGAGAGAAAGCGAAATCTCTTCTGTTACTGTTGTTCTTTCTGACTGTGATCCATGCAATATACAGCAAAAACGGCGAAAATTCCTGTGTGGCACCAAAATAAATTTTTTCCTCTCTTCGACTTCAGAAGAGGTTGCCTAGTTACCGAGTTAGGATTTGGAATTGGTTTTCGAGTTGGATTTGGAGTTGGATTTTCCAGTTGGATTTTTGAGTAAGGACTTTTTTGGCGGGGTTTCCAATAAATTTTCAGTGGTTTTACACAACGTACTTTGTTATCGCCTTGACGTCTTTTCAAGATGGAGGAGAACGAGGACGGCAGATTGGTAAGGGCAATCTCGTTTAATCTACCTTAGTATTGCATTCGTAACTGTATTTTGGGTTGGAAACAATAGCTGACACTTCAATGAATGCTTAGTTATGAATTATTTATTAACTTTCGAGTGTCTTTTCATTTGCGTGTCAAATCGGCCGGGATTTTAACCATTAAAATCTTTCGTAAAATAATGTTTGATTTCAAGAGAATTATACACCAGACAAAACCTATATGTGATCGCAGAAATGTTACCTGGTTAGAATTTTGTTGTCAGAAGCACATGATATATCCAGGGCCGGGTGGAAGTGCCAAATATAGAGAGGCAGAAGAAACATTTTCGGCCATTTATGCGAGTCAATGTAACGAGGTGCAAATTATCTCTGTCCCAACATAACTGATTTTCTAATACCATCAGAATTGACAATTCTGATCCCAGATCAAGAGTAATAATAAAAAGTAAAAAATATTGTAATCCCTATGCCAGGAGCTAAAACTTTGTTCCCTGATTGAGCATATATTGCTGGTCCAATATTCTTCGTAGTGGCAAAAATTCTTCAGATTAGCTGTGTTTTTACAGATGGTCATTGATTTAACATCAAGCCCCCTTCAAGAAAGACCTTGAACATGGCAGTGATAATGACGTGAAGAAAGAAGACGAGATTGGTTTCTTTTGTTCACTTTTCTCATTGCACACACAGGCTGTTTTATTGACATCTAAGTAATATGTGGTTTAGTGGTCCCAAACTGCCAACAAAAGGCATCAAAACAGTTTGCATTATTTTAAATTTCACCTAGTGCTTTCAAAAAGACTCTACATCCTTACTCGAAAATCCAACTCGAAATCCTAACTCGAAAATCCAACTCGAAATCCTAACTCGAAATCCTAACTCGCAATTTAGTTTGTCTCAACGTTGATACTTTAAATGTGCAATCTTGAAACTGTATTTCTCCAGTTTTAAATGATTAATTGGATGTCTTTTATTACAATTTCGTACAGCCTAAAATGCGATATTACAGTACAGTATGCTAAACAGCCAAGGCTGCCTCAACTGAGGTTTCTATGTGCAGTCTTTTGATATCACACATATATCTAAATGTGGCATTTCAGCAAGAAAAAATGACAAAACAAAACGTGGTTACTTATGTGAACAGTTAGTTAATTGAGCTTCAAGATATCTATTTTCCTTCGGTTAGGATTACAAAACTGAATGACTGAGATCTGCGTACATCGGAGAACGCAAACGACGGCAGCTAATTTTTCGTATTTTCATTTGAAGTTCAACGTTGGCATTACATATTTAGCCTGAGCAAGTTCTGAGACCGATAGGTGCTCTGAACGCATCTAGACAATTGAACTATTTGAGGGTAAAATACAAATTGGTATTTACTAGCGTTGTCGTCGTCATTGCTTAAGCTCCCTAATCACACAAGACGAACCACTGACACTCCTGGACTCAACTCATTCACTAAAAATGAAGAACCCCAAAGGGACTTCAAAGAATTATATGTTCAAGGTCGTTTCCATGGACATGGTAACGAGGTTTAGGGCAAGCCAATTTATCATTAATGGAGAAGGTCACTCCAAAAAGCTTATATTTTTGTCTTCCTCTATAGTAAGTAAACATTCAGGTTTTTCACTCACCGAAGTCCAGCCGCTTAAGTGCCCGCTATCCTGAAGAAATTCGTCTCGAAAGTGGCGACTTCGGATGCCGTCGTTTTAAACTGTACTTGGCAGCCAGGCCGTGTTTATGTGATGTAATTCCGTCGGACACGAAATTTGCGGGAAGGAGAAAACCCTGCAACTGACTTTGCATCCTTCACAAGGTCAGTAAAATGTTTTTTTTTTCAGCGATTATCCACTTCCCTATCTTCACTGCTTTCTTTCTTGGAGTTTGGAGCGTGTTTGGCCTAAAATAATACGGCTTCAGAACAGCCATAGCCCGGATTGGTAGTTAAAAGGCTTGACGGAAGACACTTGGACGAAATGTCTTGGACGGAATAACGTCACGAAAACGCGGCCTGGCTGCTGAGCACTGTTCAAAATGGCGGCAACGATGTCGAATTTTGGGCTTTTTTGGATACAAATTTTATAAGAAAAATGTGCACTTTAGAGGCTGAAACTTCGGTGAGTGACTAAACTTTGTGCGAGGTTTTTATTAGCATTGACAAAAAAAACCAACAGCAAAGAAATCGTTTTCCGGAGTGACATTCTCCTTTGATACAGGCTTTGGAAATTAAGAATTTACAGTACTCGAGATATTTGAAAATTCTTTCACGTTTTTTGGACAACAAATCGAGTCGATCTTAATATCACCTGCTGCACGTAATTCATTGATTACTAGTTGGTGTGAATTATGCTAAATTTTCTGAACTGGATTACTCTTGCCACTGGCAACCAAAACCCCTCCACGACCTTTTGTGCTAAGGTCGTGGACGCTGACGTCAAAAGATTAACGTTCTGGTACATATGAAGGGACTTCAACCCGGCCACGGCGGCGCGCGCGTGGGAAATTGGAAATCCTAAAATGGCAGAAGCTAAACACCCGGCATTCAAAACAGGCAAAGAATTATCGACCTCAAATAGCTGAAACAATTTCGCACAACCAACAACTTCTGATTTGGAACAAAGTTGCTTTTTAGCCAAGGTTCCCGCTAGTGTTATGTTTACTGTCATTGTCATTAATTGAAAAGTTACAACGTTACTATGATTTTTCGAGTTTGTAGATTTGTTGAGTATTGTGCACTTCTTTGTTTTAACGTCACGTCATTAGCATGACGTGACGCAATGAACTTGTGTGAGTAATTCCTTGATATGGTAATTATTTGCTAATTAGTTCGAATTATGCAAATGTTTCTGAACTGGATAACATTAGAATAGCCATTGGCCACCAAAACTCCTCCATGGCCTCTTGTGTCGAAATGAGCTGTCAATGACGTCACAAGGTCGTCGTTAAGGTAGATATTGACACTTTTATCTGAAGCGACTTCAACACGAACAATGAACCAAACTCCCCCGCTTGGCCTACCATTGGGACACGAGCCTTTCCTTATAAATACGGGATTCCCGTTTAAAACGTAACCAAGTTGGAAGCAATCATCGGAAGTGTGTAGCCTACAGGAAATAAGCAGACACGAAAAACGTTTTTCATTTGATCTAACGATGTGGCCAATAGAGTTGAATGCTTATAAAGCTCAACTCTTCGCAGCATCCAAACAAACATGGCGTCGTGTGTTGTGGTTTTTCCTTGAGTAAAATCTTCGTCAGAGAATAGATTATTTCTAGACCCTCAGTGGGATTTTCGAAACCAGGAGTGATCTAAAATAACTTGATGGGGATTACCTCTGGAATGAGGCCTCTATGGAGGATTCACTCCCTCACCCTTCATACTTTCTAAATGCTAAACAGAAAGTTCATGAAACAAGGCCAGTGTTTTGCTAAAGGGTAAATTAAAGACCACCGGGAATTAACCTGAAGTAAACAAAATCAAAGTTAGTTTCGTTGATAGCGTTGTACGTCACTCCTGGGTGACCAGAATTCACGCCAGCACTTCCAATCACATTCATCAGTTCAACTGTCATTCTGTATGGGTCCCCGGCATTGATCTCGTCCTTATGAAGAACACGACAGAAACCACTGGAGGGCCACGAACCATGCCTGGCATCCACTTCATAACTGTTTGTAACTTCCGATATTGTCACACTAACACAGGCTGCTGCAGCTGTTAACAGGAGGAATATGTTAAACAGGCGAAACCAGGGACTGAGGACATGACGATTGAGCTCAAATCATTTGCAGAGCCAAGATCATGTGTCGTAACCACTCTTAAGGGGGTATTTGATTAGAAATAAACTTTCCAGGAATGCCGTAGTCAAACTTTTGCTAAATTATGTGAAGCCGTATGAAGCCATATCGTCATATATTTGAGGGAAACAGTTTGCTGTTGAATTAACTAGTTATGAATGTATCTATTTTAAGTCTCATAGCACAAGATCAGCGTCAACTTAGTGTTGTTCCATTGTCAGATAGTTTAAAGAAAACTGGCTGGACGTCAGAGTCCAGTTTAGCTAAATTTTATGACAAAAAGATTGTAGAAGACACTTTGGACAATACATTTTTTGTGATCCCTCAGTGGACGACAAGGTGGAATGCATAATTTAAACGAGACGTAAAACAACAATAATGGAAAGTTCGACTCTAATTATCTTTGTCCCCGGCCCTCCTTTGGGCCCCATCCTGTGTGATAAACTTGACTACGATGCACAGGTGTGGTGCTTTGAAGGCTGAGCTCACGCAGGCGCAACGCTACCTTACGGAACTGGTGGAGACACATGCATTCTGGAATGGAGTCCAACGCTCTGTCATGTTCTTGACCTTCCTCGGGTCGTTTTTGTGAGCAATTCAACTGCTCAAGCTCGAATTTTTTAGTAACAATTAATAGTAGTATGTATTTGCCCCCTAAGCATCCCATAATAGTTATTTGCAACAATGCAATTTAAAATGGCCGCCGTAAAATATCATTCACTTACTTTCGGTTTTCATGTCACACCGGGCGATAAGGGCGTTCCGAGATCGCCCGGAATCTAACCAGTAATTCCCACTGACCGCTCGTGTTCCTTCGCTCGCTTTGATTTCTTTACACGAATCAGCAGGCAGCTCCGGAATGGACCCGAGGGGCACTGACAACGAAAGAGAAAACATCAACAAAGCGTATTGAAAAAGATATTCTCAGGCAACCTTTGACCAATTTCATAGACTGAGTAGGACTTTTACAGAAAGTGGAAATTAGTAGCGTTAGGTAACAGTCTCTGTAATTTGACTACCTCTTTTGGGGGCCTTCGTCATGTAATATCTGTTTATGTCCCTGACAAAGTCCTCTGGCCTGGCCTCCTTGGTCCTGTTATTCAACTCGCATATGTCTTTGAATATGACATAGTTATAGCTTTGACATCTGACGTCAGAATTGCACGCCTGTCTGCAGTCGAGTGAACCTGGACGAGCATTGAACGTGTTAAAGGTGTGTCCCTTTAACATCATTTGATAAATGGAGTAGCTGTTGATTCCACATTCTTGGGTTGCAAAGTTGCGGATCATCAAAGACGCCATAAACAGGGCGATAAGAGACATTTCTTGAGGAAGCATGTCCCAACGCCTGGTGTCTTTAGCGCCTGTGCGAAGATTAGGAAAAGTATCATTTCTTAAGGAATTGTTTTCTTTAAAGAACGAGACATATACGGTTCTATTTATTGTTTTGAAATGAAACATGTTTAGCCAGATCTGCTTAAAGACATGCAAAATTGCTTTTTACAAAGTTTGAAACGAACATTGTGTTGGATCCTATTTTGGAAGAATAACCTTGTTGGCTATAATAATCTCGTAACTGACTAGACCGTAATTCTTCAGTATTACACTATTGCTTTACTTTCGAAACGAAACAGCAAAAAGTTGACTATTCCTGCTAAACTGAATTACCAGTTGCAATTATGCTGCAGGAACTTAACTGGGAAACCATAGCCTCTAGAAGGAAAACCGCCAGAAAATCTTTCTCGTATAAACTCTCTCACAATATGGGAGACGCAGCGGCCTCATGGCAGTGGCCTCGACTCCGAATCGAGCGGTCCGGGTTCGAGCCCTGACCGGGGACGTTGTGTTGTGTTCTTGGGCAAGACACTTTACTCTTTACTTTACGGTGCCTCTCGTCACCCAGGTGTATAAATGGGTACCGGCAAATTTAATACTGGGGGTAACCCTGCAATTGACTAGCATCCCATCCGGGGGTAGTAGAGATACTCCTAGTCGTTTCATGCTACTGAAACCGGGATAAGCTCCGGCCTGATGAGGCACTTGGCCTGTATGCAGAATTTCTCCCACAATCTGACGAATTTTTCAGTAGAAGCCCACCTAAAACCAAATAATGAAAGAAGAACCCGTGGGAGCCACGCTTTTAAGTTTGTAGTTCCTAGAGCAAAGAAAGATATTTTTAAGTTTACTTTCCTCCCACGAAAATCAATGAATGGAACTCTCTTCCTGAGGATATTGTGAATACAACGCCCGAAGATAATTTTAAGTCAAAGTTAGTTAATAGTTATTACCATTCCATTGTATTAGTTTCATTTAGATTTTTTTTAAATTTATTTTTTATTCTTTTTAATATCCCATTGTATTATTCTTTATTCAGATTTTTACAGTTGGTATGATAGCTCACGATTTTTACCGACTTAACTAAGTTTAGATGTAGCTGTAGAATTATAGCGCCTAGAACCAGAGTTACTGACAGTGCCAATCATGAGATGATGGGCTACGTCAGGTTTTCATCTATATTTCTACTGATTGTTTAAAAAGTCCAGTTTGCTGTTTATTTAAAGTCACCATCAGGGTTAGATTAATTATACAATAAGAAGACATCAACTTCATGAAGGTTTCAGTATTCGTGTGTATTTTAACTTCGCTGGGAGCTAAGTAGCGGATCTAGGAGAGGGGCCCAGGTCCCCTGAGCCCCCCTTATTTTGGTTAAAAAAAAACAAAACAAAACAAAAATCGCAGAAGGAAGAGAAGCCGACAGGGCTGGCAAACCCCCCTCCCCTTTAGCTCAAGGTCTGGATCCGCCACTGCTAATCTGTGATGGACAGCATCCCATGCCATTCAAGGGACGTGAGAGAACTCCTAGCCGCCTCTGATAACCTCTGCGGTGTGGGCCAGTACGTTAGCTCGACTATGATAACTTAGCATTTATGAGTCGTCTCTACGACAGTACTTGTTTGCATACAATTACCGTGCACACAAAGAAGAAGTTTAAGTACAGTTGTAAGATTTAAAAAAATTTCTCGTGTCTCAGTGATTTTAGTTCGCGACAGATCGGTTCAACACATTTCTTTCAAAACATTTATTACACAACAGCTACTTTCAAACTTTCAAGTAAATTAAAACTACGCACACTGGCAACTTCAGTTTGTTTTGACTCACGCTGATAACTTTGTTTTGTTCTTCATTGAATGTGTGGGCTGAAGTTTTTATGGTGAAAAAAATTCGATTTCTTTTTATGACTAATGGTTTTGTATAAAGATAC